TGTTTTTATGTAGAAATAATACAGAAATAGAATATATTTTAAACCCCAATCACTTATTATACATATAAGAGAAACAAAACAACAAAAAGAAGAACAAAATCCTCCTGCTGCTGCTGCAGCAGCAACCACCACGCTGCCCTCCCCACTGGCGTTGCTGCATGTACACAGACAGCAGGAGAGTGTAGCGGCGGGGTGTATATACACCCCAGAAAACGAGAAAAAATAAATAAATACATTTTATTCTCAACATAAATATATAAATTAACTTAAATACTTTTTTTTTCTTTTTATTTACACCCTAACAAGCATAAAACTACGCTCTGTACATACACAAGAACCTACAGAAACCCATGCTCCTGCTGCGGCAGATCTGTATATATAGGGGTGCTGCTGCGGCAATATAAATCATTGAAATAGTTTTAAAAAGAATAAACTTTATTTTAATTATATTTTTATATTTAAATTTACTTTTTCAGCGCAAAAAACCACCATATATCTCCCCAGAAACACCCAACGCCTACGCCTACGCCGTAGTATATATACTACAGCATCCTCTTGGCTTCTCTGCTGAGGTGTATGTACACCCCAGATCGCAGCCGCCAGTGGCTGCGCTGCGGTTTTTTTTTTCTTTTATTTTATTTAATTGTGAAAACAACTCCGTTTTTAATTATTTAAAAAGCATTTATATCATTAAATTAAAATATTTCGCGCTGTATAATCCTTGTCTTGCGGTGTATCGACAGCTCTCCCCCTCCTCCCTCTTCTTCTTCTCTGCTTATACACTATACAAACGAGCGCCGGCGCTGCTGCATGCGTGTATGCATGCACTTGTAGTATATAGAAAAGCCGTTATTTTTCACATTTTTCTTTTGATTTATAAATAAATTTATATTTATATTTATTTTATCGTCGTATTCTTTCTTTTTATACACAAATCCGCGGCGTTTCTCTCTGCTTTCTGCTTCTCCCTGCGCCGGTTCTGTACGAGAGAAACAGAGAGAAATGCTTCTTTTCTTCTCTAGCCGAGCATGAGTCTCGTTGACTATGGCTTCTACTCTGACGAGGAGGCAGACGGCGACAACTCTGACCCGGCAACGAACCCCATCACCAGCAGCAGCAGCAGCAGCAGCAGCAGCAGCAGCGGCGGCGGCGGCGGAGGAGCACCCGGTGGCAGCAGCAGCAGCGCAACCACCAGCAACAGCAGCAGCAGCAGCAGTGACGCGGTCAACAACAACGACAGCAACAGCAGCAGCTGCAGCAGCAGCAGCAGCAGCAGCAGCAGCAATAGAGTTTCTGTTTATAATACAGATGAGACAGGTGCTGCGGTTTCTTCTATCGATGCTGCTGCTTCTCCCTTCAATGCAGAAAACGCTTCTTTCTCTGAATCAGATCTAACCTATCCCTCTCTCAGTTCAACTCCTGCTGCTGCTGCTGCTGCTGCTGCTGCTGCTGCTGCTGCTGCTGCTACTTCTGCTGCTGCTGCTGCTGCTGCTACACGTACAGCTGACTATACACTACAAACAGCATCATCATCATCTCCCACCCCGAGCACAAAAAGAAGAGAAACAGCAGCAGCAGCAGCAGCTGCTGCTGCTGCTGCTGCTGCTGCAGGTACACCAACA